AGAGTCGATGTAGCTCGCATACTCAGTGGGTAGGAAAAATTAGATTCTAGTCTAAATTTTAGAGCACTTCCATTCAGTAGTGGACGAGTTCACCGCGAATACAGGTCGTTTGGGTGGAGCAAAGTCTAGCATCATAGCTACGGCTTTGGAACAGTTTTTTTTTGGAACAAGAGTTTGAACTATGACAGCGTGGTTATCATCCCTTTCACGTACCGGCGATGGGCGTGTCTGAGAACTGAGTCGTATTTGGCGCGTTATCACGCCGCTGCTTTTCACCGCGAAAGCGCTACCCATTCTAGATTTGAGCACTCCTCTACTCCATTCGGTACCCATTATTCTCTCATGGAACACCCAGTTTTTCTCCTTACAACTGTTAGAAAATCAGAATCACATTTATCACATCTCACTGACCACGATAGTTTTACATTCAGCGAATCCATTTACAATTTAGGTGCTTCCTATAACAAAATATCACGTTGATGAAGTGAACGAGAAGAGCAAGCTGTTTTGTGCGCAACATCTTCAGAACAGCATGGGCATGTGTAGAGTGATTCAGGTATGTGAGCATAATACTACGCTTTATCAAATCCTTTACTGAAGTTCCTGGTGCTAACATACCTACCTAATGGCTGGCAAAATCCCCCTCATTCGAAATTGAAGCGCACACTTTAGGCATTTGAATAACGTCAACGCCACCTCGTCTGTCCTTCCGTCGTGTCGGGCCATTTGTTCAGTACTGATCCCCTTTACAAAAATATGGCCACTGACAACTGTAGTCCTTTGAAATCTTCCCAATTCGTTGCTAACGTAGTTGGAAGGGGCCACGCGTCGGCGCGGCGTTCTGTTCGTCTGCGTCTGCGAGGCGTAGCAGCGAAATAGTAACGACCCCTAGAATAAATCTGACAAGGGAAGGATACCAGGTCGAAGTGGCCATTTGTAACGAGACATACACCACTAGATGTGTTTTTGGACGCTGATCTCGAATCTGCTCTCCAAATCTGCGAAACGATTCTCTGAACGTAGTTATGAAGCGAGATAGTGCAGTGGCAGCGGCCCGGGCCGACGAGCAAAAGGTCGTGGATCGACTTCTTAGCGAGTTTTCAGCTGCTTTTCTTGAAAACATTGTTCAAAGAACTCTTATGCACGCTAAATTATCAACGACTGCCTATCCTATAAGAGGAAAGAGCTGGCAAAGAGCTTCGAACACTGTGCGCGTCATTTGCCGTGTCCTGTCGGTCGTGTGTGCCCACATTTTCGACTTTAGGTTAAAATTTTGGATTTGGATCAAAAGTTGTCACAAGGGGTACTTTGATGCGCTGAACACGAAAATCACATCTATTTGGCAAGAAAGTGCATGACGCATGCGCTACGGGTGCCAGAGACGGTCATTTGCTGATGACGCACACAGTGTTCGAAGCACTTCGCTAGCTCTTTCCACTTGTATGATTGGCAATCGCTGATGGCTAAGCATGGATAAAAGTTCCTTAAACAATGTTTTCAAGAAAAGCAAAAGTAAGAACTCGAACTCGAGTCGATCCACGACCTCTTGTTCGTCGGCCCAGGCCGCTGCCACTGCACTATCTCGCTTCATAACTACGTTCAGAGAATCGTTCCGCAGATTTGGAGAGCAGATTCGAGATCAGCGTCCAAAAACACATCTAGTGGTGTATGTCTCGTTACAAATGGCCACTTCGACCTGGTATCCTTCCCTTGTGAGAAGCGAAGCGAAGCTTCGCAGCCGCCGCGCGGCCCATCCAGCAACATTAGCACCTTCAATTCCTGGAAATCGCTGTCCCGGCAGTAGCAGTGAATGATGTGACACGGAAAGAAAACCATGTTGAAAGTTAAAAATTCTTTTATCATAAAATATTATTATACACCGCCTCGCAGCCACGCGCATTGAAGTGGTTCACCACTCACCCGTTGTTTTAGTTAGTATAATAAATTTTGAATATCACTCTGATTCCTGGTATCGGAAATAAAATCGATAGTATTATAGTTATATTAAATTTTTTGAATTTCAATGGAATCTTTTCAGCAGCGGCATTGTTTGGTGGCGATTCCAGTGTGCAAGGTCTATTATACCCTTGGCAAAACGAAAGGCACATTCTTCGTCTATGGTAACGAAAGACAGTGCTATGTGCCGAGTTTCCCATCAAAATGTGTCATTTTATAGATCAGATTGAGTTTGAATTGGACCATTCATTTTTATTATGAGGACTGCTGCAAAAGTGAGGGGACCTTGGCTCAGTACTCTTTCTCAAACCAATGACCACAATTTTCATAATTGCTGAGTTTTTCGGGCACAAACAAACAAAGGCAGTGGCAATATTTTTGGCGAAAAAAAAATAGAAAAAAGTATAGGAAAGCGCTCAGATAGTTCCATATTCCAGCCGGGACTCATTTGGGGATGAATCACTGCGTGCTAGAAGCAGACCCATGAGTATTTTTCCCTCGGTATCAAATCGAATTGATCTAATCGGCTGCTTTACTCCACTTAATGAATGTTTCACATTTCATCGTCCCTTTGAAAAAGATCGCCTGCATTTCTTCTCACTGGGAGGTGTTTCAGCGTGATTTAGCGTGGTTCGATGTGTGCTTTCCTTGAAGGTTCGAGGAAGCGCTTAAGCAGTATACCCTGAATTTATCGTTAGTTCCTAAATGTCACATTTCGCCAACCTTTACAGTACACGTTGACAGTGAAGAAGGAGAAATGACAGGGCATTAAGCATTCTAATTGATGAACCGCAAAACCACGTTTGATTCTTCCCAAAAGAAACTCAATGGATCGAGGCGTACTGCCTTATTCTGCAGCAACTAGCCAAGTCAACTTACCCTCATGTGACAGGTTCACTTTGTACGAAATCTCTGAATGTCCTCTTCGATTTCTGGACTCAGAAGGGTTCCTTTTCTGAGTGGCTATTGCGAACCCTGAAGCGCTTTCCCATTTTTTGACAAAGTATTACCACTGCCTTTGTTTGTTTGTGCCCGAAAAGCTTAGGCGTCATCGGTTTGAGAAAGAGTACTGAGCCAATGTCCCCACTTCTGCAGCAGTCTTCATAACAAAAATGAACAGGCCAATTCAAACTCAATCTGATCTATAAAATGACACATTTTGATGGGAAACTCGGCACATAGCACTGTCTTTCGTTACCATAGACAAAGAATGTGCCTTTCGTTTTGCCGAGTGTATAGTAGACCTTGCACACTGGAATCGCAACCAAACAATGCCGCTGCTGAAAAAAAAACTGTTAAAATTCCAAAAAATGTAATATAAATAGTTCAATATTTATTTCTGATATCGGAAATCAGAAATGATGTCTTAATCCATTATACTAACTGAAACAGCGGATGAGCGGCGAACTTCTTGTAAGGGCGCGGTTGTGACACGGTGCGTATGAAGTATCAAAAGGATTCAAGCCTTCTAGCTTTTTTCTTTCTTTACCACATCATTCACTGCTACTGCTGAGACAAAGCGATTTCTAGGAGTTTGGGGTGCTAACGTTGCTGGATGGGGCAAGGCGGCGGTGTGACGCCCCACTCGTCTGCGCTCTTAGGCTGTTTTATTAGCCATTCGCGGACGCCGTACGCGTGCGGCACAGACTATGAAGCCGCCCTTAGGCTTAATCCTTACGGCCGCGCCACGCCTTGGATGAGCAGACGAACAGAGTACATTAACACCATGAACTCCAGTGAAGGATTTGATAAAGCGTCGTATTCACATACCTGAATCACTCTACACATGCCCATGCTGTTCTGAAGATGTTGCGCACAAAACAGCTTGCTCTTCTCGTTCACTTCATCAACGTGATATTTTGTTATAGGAAGCACCTAAATTGTAAATGGATTCGCTAAATGTAAAACTGTCGTGGTCAGTGAGATGTGATAAATGTGATTCTGATTTTCTAACAGTTGTAAAAGAAAAATTGGATGTCCATGAGAGAATAATGGATACCGAATGGAGTAGAGGAGTGCTCAAATCTAGAATGGGTAGCGCTTTCGCGGTAAGAAGCAGCGGCGTGATAAGGCGCCAAATACGACTCAGTTCTCAGACACGCCCATCGCCGGTACGTGAAAGGGATGATAACCATTACTGTCATAGTTCAAACTTCTTTTCCAAGGCCGTAGCTATGATTCCAGACTTTGCTCCACCCAAACGACCTGTATTCGCGGTGAACTCGTCCACTATCGGAATAAAGTGCTCCAAAATTCTCTTCAAAAGACTAGAATCTAATTTTCTCCTACCCACTGGGCATGCGTACTACACGGACCCTTCTCGAACCAATTGCTTTTACTGGATGATTTGGAATAGAAGTTATCCCGAGCGCAATCTGAGTGTCACTTGGGATAAACAACTTCACTCTTCCCTTTTTTCTATGACCCAAATCCACGCGAACAGTGTCATCAGCCGAGCCATAGCAGAATTGCTTGTTTGACGTTTTGATCATACGCGGCTGCTACGTTGCCCCCCCCCCCCCCTCCCCGACTGTGCTTGCGTCACTGCGCTTCTTTTTTTTGATTGCTCTTTTCACTATATCATTTCGAAAAGAACCTGAGTTATGGGCCAAAAGCTCACCCCACAGTGGAGCTCGGACCTCCTTCCCAGAGAGCAGACTGCAGCGAAAAACGACAGTGTTTTGATTTGAATACCGTGATCTCGCGCAGGCTGCATTGTCTACCCTAACGACGCAGGAAGGATTCTGTGATAAATGCACTTCCTACCAGCGTACACTTTCCAAAATCATTGTGTAAGCATCGGTGCAGATCTGACATCGAGGGGACCGCAGCCCATCAAGTCTCGACGTTGGATCTATCCAAAAACCCCTACTTCAATGTCTCGAAATTCAGGCCAAGTGTCGCACAGAGCGGGGGAAAATGTTCGACAAGTCTCCCAGTCAGCCTTCGGACTGATTGTATAATATAAACTAACGGAGAACTCACGTATGGTTGCTCTTCACAGAAGATCTCTCTCCCTTTGACTTGTGACAGCAATTTTTCCGGTACCTCAGATTGAGTGAAAAATTCAGAGCGTTCAGTTTTACTGAAAACAGTGTCAGCTTGACGCAAGGATACGGCATTTTATGGATTTTACTCAGATACTTACAAGTATACTTTGAGTTTTGTATAATTGCGGACGCTTCCCGACCCACAGCAGGCTGTACAAGGTTTTTTACCACCGCCTTTACAGTGATGACACTCCTTCACACCACGTCCATGGCACATGTAACACAAATCGTGCGTACCTGAAACCAAACAAATTTGGTTGTTTACAAAACGTTGGGCTTATCATTTAAAACTACGTCCAGGCTGGAGCTCGAACCCGCATCTTTCGCACACGAGCTGTTGTGTTGCTAGTTTTGGGCAATCAGTTAGACACATTACGGAAGGAATTCCCTTCAATGGGGAGAGTGAACGTTCATCAAATATAATATAACACCGCGAGTTGGAAATCAATTCATAGGAAATAACTGAGCTGTGGCAGATGGAATATCTAAGCTGTAAAGGATACACGACTACTTTTTTGAATTTCTGAGAAGCTTAAAGGCATTGGTGGATCGAAAGGTGTACCATTTTGTTCGAAAATCTGACAACAAATTTAATGCGAAACAAGAGGGGAAAAGCAAAAAGGACACACAAAATCTGAAATATCCCTTGTGGGAATCGGTCGTGGAATGATCGAAAAGAGGTTACAGGGCTTCACGGGAGAACAGTCACGAGAGGCACGTCGTATGTGGAGGGGCAAGCGCCATATTATTCGCTGATTGATAAAGTGGCAGCTCAAGCAGGCATAGAAGGTGTAAAGTTAATCACCTTCATGTCTAAGTGCCATTATGTACTGGAGTCAGCGTGATTACCGATTCCAGGGCGGTGAACTCGGTTTTTGACATGAAAAATGCATTCGGTGTGGCCAAGCCCTACCGTTGATTACCAGCTCCTGTCTAACCATGCTTGCTTGAAGAGGAGGCGTAGCCACGACTGAGGTCAGCCTGAAACAATCTGCTTGAGCCTTGTTATTGCTGAGTCTTCCCAAATCAGTGTCGACAGTAAAGTCCCAATGGACAGAATTCTCTTTCAAGAAAATTTGTAAAGAGACTCATAAACTCACATGTGGGAAGGTGGCAACCATTGGATGAGTGTAGACAGCAGGATGCGCGACACCCGACTTCATGCCAGTTCCTCTTAAAAGAATTTTTATTTCACAAATATTCAGATCCTAAAGGTCTATAAATTTTTGCTGGAGGCCCTTCTGAGCAAATTCGACCTGAATCACGGGACGACAGGTGATCCAGGTGATGTTTTTAATCTTTCCAATCTTTCCTTGTTTATCTTATCGATTCAGCCGAAGGTCCCTCGATTTCAAAAGACGAGAAGAGTGTTATGGAGACTACGCACACAAAGTGACGACGTCGGAGAAAGGAGTGCTTTTTTTTTTCTTGATCGTGTGCTTACGGCGTGTGTGAATCTGCCTGGACGCGTTCTCGTCTTCCGGAATAGAGGGAACTATAGTGACAAGCGGTCCCAACTCCCCATACGCAACGATCATTGGGTCAAATACTGAATCCACTACGTGGTCGGTCAAGTGGTACGTGTTTCATCTGGGAGAATGGAGACCCAGAACTGTACATTGACTGGCCCACTGGAAGTTGTTATATGGGACAAACGCCTTCAAATGTCGCTACGAGTCTGGATAGAAGTGAAATGCGTGGCGCACCCCGAAAAGAGATTGATCAACGCAGGAGCTTCATTCTTCTATTTGTGGGTTCAACCGTCAAAATTGACGACTCTTCTTCTTCTGCCCTGTCCTACTAATTTTACGCGTTCGGCGCAGACCATCTTTTTATTCCAAGACTCTTTGCCATCTACGGTGAGCTCCTTTCTAACCTACACACTTCGTCTCGGGCTCTGGTCTAAAGTGTGCCAGAAGCAGCCTTCGCTTTATACGTCGCACGTAAGTTGAAATCAGTTGTCATCAAGCATTCATTCGGGACAAGTTGTGTCACACCAGAAAAGTAGACCCCTCCCCCACCTGGGTAAACGCTAAGGAAGAAGATACCATCGCTTGAAAATGCCCTTTTCCCATAGTTTCCTGTTAATGCGAAGTGATGAGTAGCAAAGGACGTGTAGACAGGCCTCGAGATCTTAGCCTCAAAAACTTTTTTCTGGAACCTGATGAACTTTCGGTCAATTAGGGAGGGAGCATGGCCCATTCAATTTCAACGAAGAAAACATGAATAAAAAAAACTGGCAGATGATCATACCTGCAAAAGTTGCACTTATCCGTACCTAAGCCTCGGCAATGAAAACAATGATAAGTGCCTTCGGAATTGCAGACAGAGCACGGGTTTATCGTACTGCTGCCGGGCATTTCCAGAACTCGAACCTGAAACGTCGACGCCTTTCAGATGGTCTCATTGCCGTCTAGGCTATTCCTGACCCAAATTCCCCAAAGGGTTTCAAAACAGCTCCTCCTGAACCCTTAATCAAGATCTTGAATGGATGGCTGAATGGTTAGAAATACCATAGGCACTTAACTAAGCATTTTGTCCCTTCCAGTGACCCCTATATGAATTTATATAAACAATGCAAGAATAATTATAAGACTGGCCTGATCAGTAAACATCCTCGATGGTTGGACCTCGAAATCCCATGGGTTCGTAAAGGAAGTGGTGGCATGATCGAGTAGCTGTCCAGGGTTGACGGCCTCGGCCGCTTCTGATGTCGACCGTGCTTCGGTGAACGATTCGAGCACGTACTGCAAGCAGAACCTCTCAAGACATATATTGATTTTTGGTTGAATCAATCGCTTACATGTAAACAGCTGAGCATCTCTAGTCGTTCAAACTGCATCTTCTTGAAGGCGGACGACTTCCAATATCGATGCCTTTTCACTTCATGCAGTAGCGCATCTCGCACCTCACTTTCACCCAACGGTATTATATCGTCAAAGTATCGATTCGATGCTGATCCTTCTAAAAATGAATTTTTATTGGAATGACCTAATTCCAAATGCCTTCCTATGCACTCTACAGAGGCGCCTGGTAAGTTCCAGAGCACTTCATTTCATTTCGCTCACTGGGCTTCGTTTTTAAATTGAATTCATTAGGTTAACCATTTTCTGTGTTAAGTAAGTTCTTTTGGAAACTGAAGATTGCGCTACTTTTATTTGCTGAACTCTTGTTCAAGAGATAGAAATAAGCCCAATAAAGGTAGAAGGCGTATGTAACAAATTAAATTATTTGTTGTAGGTTTACCCTAAGATAATGAGGATGAATGATCATGGGCATAAAAAAGGTACAAATCATGAACCCTTTGACACATTGCGATCCTTTT